CGACTCCCCCATTCTGCACTCTCTAGCAAAACGTTTTAAAGATTCACATTCGGTGGTCTCTTTCTAAAAATGCGGGAGTAAGTGGTAAAAGGACTTGGGGGAAAATGTACAACCGGGGGTCTGGGGGCATGGAATACCCCCAGAGGGCATCTGGCGCAGTACTACATTCTCCAATAAAACGTTCAGTCTTAAAGATTCACATTCGATGATTTCTGTCTGAAAATAAGGGTGTAAGTGCTAAATGCATGTGGGGGAAAATATAAAACCGTATTTATCAATATTTTTATTATAGGCAAATATTAAATTGCGGTTCTTTTTTTCTTGAATTGCTTTCCGTGCTTCTCTGGCGTTGTGTTTTATCCATACATAACGATTTTAATTGAAATTTAGGCACCCCTAGTCCCTCAACCTAACAAAATTGAAAATACGACAAAGGACGTTCCCAGCGCAAAGCCGCCTGAGCAGACACCTGTGAGGCCAGCCGTTAAGCTGGATGAAAGGGAAAGTAAACCTGTTCTAAAATCTGTTGTGCAAAAGAAACCAATCGAAAGAAACTCATTCCAAGATCCTGATTTAATTAAGCAGTTTACTCAAGAAGTTGAAAAGTTGGAAAAGTTTGTTGACATACTATCCACAAAAACGCTGAGTGGGCCAACCTCGCTCGAACTGAAGTGGAAAGAAATTCAGGATAGGCAAGATGCGGAGCAGCACCGGAAAAGCATTTCGGTTGCTAGGTGTTACCCGATGAAAAATCGGTTTCCCGATATACTTCCCTATGACCAAACTAGGGTGGTATTGATCGGCAGAAAAGATGACTACATTAACGCGTCTTACATCAAGGTATTGTATTTGGCCGCTGACATTATTTACAATACTTCTCTGCTTGTAGGACATCAGTCCGAATTCTCCTGAGTTTATTGTCACGCAGTGCCCATTATCATCCACATTCCACGATTTTTGGGTAATGGTGTGCAACGAAAATGCGGAATTAATTCTATGTTTGTTAAATG